TCTCTAAATTCAGGTGGGATATAGCCAAGGTCATATTTTGGCACTTGTGGACTTGTTTTCATTTTCTTCAGTGTCAGCCTGAACTTGTAGTATGGTCTGTTCCAGTTAGCTCCTGGCCTTGTTTTGGCTGATGATATGGAACTTTTCTACTGTCTCTTCCTACAGATGTAGTCCGTTTGATTCTTGTGTTTTCCATGTAGTGAGGTCCATGTGTACAGTTATCTTTCATGTTGTTTAAGAAAGGTATTTGCAATAAATGAGTCACTGGTCTTGCAAAATTCTATCATGTGATCTCCAGCATCATTTCTATCACCAAGGTCATATTTTTTAATTACTGATCTTTCCTCTTTATTATTCTGATCCTTCACATTTCAATAACCAGTAATTATCAATGCATCTTGATTGTATGTGTTCCATTGCATGTTTGTGTTCCATTTCATTTTTGACAACTTCCAATTTTCCTAGATTCATACTTTGTACATTCCAGGTTCCAATTATTAGTTGACGTTTGAAGCTGCTTCTCCTCATTTTGCGTTGTGCCCCATTAGCAAATGAAGGTCCTGAAAACTTTACTTCTTTGCATCAACATGGTCATCTCTACTTTGTGGAGACCACTCTTCCTCAATTGTATTTTGAGTGCCTTCCAACCTGAAGAACTAGTCTTTCTGCACTGTATGACAATATTCCACTGCTAATTCATAATGTTTTCACCTTCAGGTACTATATCTGACAATATTCCACTGCTATTCGTGAGGTTTTCAGTGACTAAACATTCAGAAGTGTTCTGCCTCTCTTTATCCCTAGTCTGTTCTAGTCTGGAAGCTTTGCTGAAACCTCTCCACCATGGGTGACCCTGCTGATATTTACAATACCAGTGTATTGTGTTCTTCCCTTTTAGTTTTCTAAGTCCTGGTCTTTGAAAACAGCTTCCAAAATTACAGCAACATGTAAGCCACCACAGTATGACAAACAAATAGTGGATGAGGCACATACAAGAGGATTAAATAGGAGAGATAAGATTGAGTAGTGAAAATCTGGGAAGTTGTTTCGATGAGTCATGAGAATTTTAGTAAGTAGAATTTGACACAAATAGTTAGAAGTGGTACAAGTGAGAATGGGAATGCTCATCAGTGCAAGTTGACTCACAAGAACAAAATCAGAGGTGGAAAGGAATGGGCATGTTTTGGAGACCCTCAGGTGAAGTTGTCTCATAGAATGTGCAATGCATTATGAGACATGAGAACAGGACATTGGGGCAGGCTGCAGAGCGCATGGTTGGCCAGGAGATGGCATTGGTCTCGATCTGGACAAGAGCTCTGATAGCAGGGGAGTGATCTGACCACACCTGTGATTTAAGAAGGTCACTGGGGCAGCTATGAGAAGGGTTGGAGTGAAGTGGGGCAGGTGAGAGAAGCTAGTGCGCATGCTGGTTTTTCTCTAGAATAAAGATAAGAGGTCAAAGCTGGAGCAATGGCTTAGAGGATTGGGATAAAAGCAAATGCACTTAGTAACTTGATGAAATGCATTTTTCAAAGAAATGAAGAACAATTTCTTTTCTGAAATAATTTATTTGTAATAAATAAACTTAAATAACAAATTAAAATCAGGGGTTAAAAATTCACACCACACATCAATAAATGAAATCTTTGGTTGATACATCTAATCACATTTTATAAAGCATGATCATTCAAATTCAATGACAAGAAGTAGGAAGATTACTGAATACTGCAGTAAAGAAATGAACACAATAAGAAGACGTTTGCTCTTTTTGAGCCCTAAGATACTTGGGGGCTGAGCAGGGCTATACTAGACAGTCAAGAGACCTGACCGTGTGTCCTGGGTCTCAGTCACTTTAAAACACTCTGTACCTATTGTCTCCTCTGATAAAGGAGGAAGTGACATTAACCATATCTTCAAGTTCTAACATTCTATGAATCACTAGACCTGTTAAATATGACTTTTGGAAGTTTCCAGTGGAGTCGACATTGGACGAAATACTTTTCTTTCAAGCAACAGAATAACATAGATTATCAAAACTGTCTAAAATTCTCTGCTGGGTTTAAATGACCCAAAAAGAGATGTGCCATCCAGTGAACTATAAATTTTTACTATTTGCTTTTTCCCAAACTTTTCACTGTGAACTGAGTGATAGTCCGTATGGGAGAACATGGCTCCACACTCATCATTCCACTGCAAGGACCACAGTCTCCTCCATGTATCATCATCCAACAGCACTTGCCAATATTCCCTCTGTTCCACCCCTTTTCTTGAGGGGTGGGGAGTGTTCACAAAATAAATTCTTACTATTATAATCACCAAACAATCACTATAGGACACCAAGGAAAACTCCAGAGTGATGTTTTAATGAGCTTCAGATTCATGGCTAAGTTTTGATCCATATGCAAGCACAAGTCCTTTTGATAGGCACTTTAAATTAACATAAGTTACAAAAATCCAAGTTTGCAAAAGGGAGGATTTAAAACAGTATATTATATGAAGTCATATTTTAAATGTTTATTAATTTATCAAAGATTTCCTGCAAGGCTTCCTTAAATAATGATCATCCTCATATAGATAAATGATAATGCAATTTCTTCAATTTTCAAGAGCACTCTGCTGCATTCTGGTGGCAAAACCCTGTTTGTATACATAGACGATAGCCTCAAAGCAGGAAAAGGCACTTCTTCTGAATGGTGGCAGTGGTGGTGTGCTGTAGAGTTGCTTCCAACTCTTAGTGACTCTATATAGGGTTTCCAAGTCTGTAAATCTTTATGAGACCAGAAAGCCTCATCTTTCTCCTATGGAATAATTGTTATTGTTGTTAAGTGCCACTGAGTCGGGTCCGACCCATAGCGACCCTGTATAGGGTTTCTGAGGAGCAACTAGTGAGCTTGAACGGCCAACCTTGCAGTACAAACAGCTTTACAGTCTGGCACATTAATCCACAGCACCACACCAGGGCTCCTTGCAGTTAGCAGCCCAGCTCATAATCTACTATGCTACCAGGACTCCTGAATAAACAAGTAAAATTCTGTATACAGGCAAAGAGTCCCTCTGTTTCTTCTATAGCAATGCATTGAAATGAATTTAAACATGGAACTTACTGTTGGTGGTCAAGTTGATAGTAGCGACATGAAAGGTTCGAAAGGAAATTTAGGGGGAAGTGAGTCTATACCAATATGGCAGAAACAAATATGAAAATGAGGGTAAGAATGGATGCCTAACTTCTAGAATTGAATCAATGTCATTGGGGTGTTCATGCAGAAAATGTTGAATTGATGTATGTGTTTCTCCATGTATTTGTAACAACAATAAAAACTCTAATATGAAAATACTGAGTAAAATATTTTTATCATTTTAATGTTACTCAATTGACATCTGTCTTTAAAGCTTTGAAATATACACCACCATCCCCGCCACCCCCACCACCACAACCACGATAGTTTTGCCACAAACTTGAGTTCACATAAATTCGTGAGAGAGAAAAACCCAGCACATTTGGAAGCAGATCCCCTGATGTGTGCGCATTTGTGTGTTTCCTAGGACTCTGCTGGTTCTCTGGGGGAAGTCAGCCCAAGGCAGCTTAAATAAAGGACTGTGAAGGGAAACATACTGCTACTCCTGAATGCATTGTGCTAACAAGTGTGAATTGTATAATGGCCTTGCTATTTGGGGCAATAGAGGAAGCCTCGTCCAGTTTTCTTGTGATCACAAGCCAAGGAGGCTCACTCCAATCTTTCATAAATAAAATAGGTTCTTTCTAGAGTGACAGGAAATTTAAGTCCCTCTGTTGTGTGAACTCTAGAAACCCTAAATCTCAAAGCCATCAATTTCCTATCTGTGTGGTTCAGAAGGTTTTAAAAGCAATGTACTGTCAAGAACTTTGGGGAAAGAAGGTGTCCCAGAGACAATCAAATAAAATTATTTGTAGTCTGGGCTCCACTATGGGATTCATCTTTAAATTGTCACATATGGTGGTGAGTTCTGCCAGACTGAGGCCATTTCACTGAGCTGTTGAGTATCATCCCTCTGAGTTTAGGACAAAGCAAATGCTCCATAGCAGGGAAGGCAAATTACAATTTCATTAATTCATTAGTGTCTGGTATTGCATTTCTATTGGTCTAGGCTAAAGATTTGGACTAAGCTTTCTTTTCACAAAACGAGTCATTACAAGATAATGTTTGGGGTTTTAAAATTAGATTTGAATTGTACAGGTCCTAAGTCAGCAGAAATTTAGGCTGAATTACAAGTTTTACTCCTTGACATGAGCCTAAGGGGTAAGCTAACCTAATTCCTCATTTTTCATAACAGAACTGTGATCTCTAACTCACAAATGATCAATTCCTTTCCTCTTATGGATACTATTCACCATTTGGTTTTAGACATAACACATGCATGAATAACTCAGGACAAATGACATGTCACGTTTGTATCCAGTTTAAAGGATACAGAGCTCATCCACATAGAACTGCTGAATCCCAGTCATTCCCACATTCCAGGAGGGTCTCCTCTCAACAGATTTCACCACCAGGCTCCCTGGTTGATTTACGTAGGGGTTCGCATTTCATTCATCAACACTAAAATGTATTGTATTAATACTTGATCAAATATGCCTTTTTTAAAAACAAACTTCAAAAAGTTCTAAGGGATGCTTTTTTTGTTTTTCATCCATCCATCTGAGATTCATGGTGGGAAAACTCCTTTCTTGTAACTAAAAACATATTGAATAAAACTGATTTTCAAGCCTTTTTTAAACTCATGAATTTTTTCAAACAACATCTATGCAGACCTGTATATCAAAAGGAGATGGAGACAGTCCACTGTCCTGAAACCTGGGGATGGGACATTCCACACAGTCTCCTTGAGACCCCTGTAGTTCTTCCTGAGCCACTTCCGATGAAGCACAAATGTATGCCTTACAAATGATTCATCAAATTGACTCCAGAACAAATAAAAGCCAGTAACTTCTGGACAAATGCTACTCAGATAGCCTGAGCCTGAGCCACGCTATGAAATGTAGTGACTTGGGCCGGGTAAAGGAAGCTGACAGTCATCAAGTAGAGTCCTGTCCTCCAGGCTTGGTAGGTGGGGTGCTTGGGGGAAGAGCCCCAGAATGTTTCCCTGAGCCTCAACTCCTGTTTGCTGCAGACCTTGTTCCCCCAGGACCTTGACCAAGAAGTTGATATACCTCATGGCTAGACGTAGAGTTTCATTTTTGCTCAGCTTTTTGTCTGGAGGGTGAGTTGGGATAAGCTTCCTCAGCTTGGCAAAAGCCCTGTTGACATTCTGCTGCCTCCACCTCTCCCTTGTATTTGTGAAGAGCTTCCTGGTCATGCTTGGGTTCCTGAGACAAGAAAGAAAATGGCCCCAATGGCCAATATCATGAAAAAAGCCTGATAGTACCACATGTCCTGCCAAGAATCTGAGATGTTAGCTTTCCTCAACCTAGGTTTTAGGAATTTTTTCCTCATCTTCCTGTTGATAAGAGAAAATAATGTGGCCAAGGGAAGGCAGAGTAAGAATAATGCCCATTAGCCTTTTCCTGTCCCCACCCTGAACTTCCTCCCCACCCGGTTTCAAAGTTGCTTTATCCCCATATCCCCATTACTTCTTTTACAACCATCGCTTCCCTTTTAGAACTGGACACAATATAGGATTAAGTATATACATGAATAAAGATATATATTTAGCCAGTAGGGAGTTGAACATGAACCAACAGAGTGTAAAATGAACTTATAAGGAAAAACAGACAAAAGGCTGTGATCCTAGGTTCCATTAATAAGCTCTCCTCATAGGTGGTAGACCTCACCTGGAAGACTGGGCCCCACTCCGGTAGAGTTAAAATATCCACAATGGTCCACATTAGAGGAAGCTGAGGCAGGTGATCAAAATTCTTGAAATCATGTTGTAGGAAGAACAAAACTTGGGATATTTTGCCTGAAGAAGAAGAAAAGTCAAGGTTCAGTTGGGGTGACCATTTGTCACAGATGTTGTAGAAGGTATTATTATAGTGTATGTGAAGTCTGAACGGATGATCTTTCCAACCCTAGCAACCATCCGCTGCCACTGAGTCAGTTCTGACTTATGGCAACCCTCTAGGGCAGAGTGGAGTCCTGGTGTGGCGCTGTGGGTTAATGCACCAGTCTGCAAAGCCGTTTGAATTGCAAGGTCATCAGTTCAAACTCACCAGCTACTCCTCAGAAACACTATACAGGGTCGCTTTGGGTTGGAACCGACTCGACGACACCTAACAGCAACAACAACAAGGGCAGAGTAGAACTGCCCCATAGGGTTTCCAAGGTTGTAAATCTTCAGCAGACTTTCTTCCTTTGAGAGGCTAGTGGGTTTGAACAGCTGACCTTTAGGTTATCATTTGAGCACTTTAACTACTGTACCACCAAGGGATCCTTTTCTAATCTAGAAGAATTATTTATCATTATATATTGCTGAATCTTAGCCATGTTTAACTCTTAAGCTATAATTTTTTCAGTTGGCTTTAATTAACATGAGTCAGTGTGACTAATATTAATTTACACATTAATATTAATGTGAACACAGTCCCGTACCTGATGTTTGGGTCTTCTCAGCTCAGTACTATCTGTCTGATGCTTCTCTTTGATGCTGCTTTTCCTTAGAAACTGGACCCTTGCAGTTTCCCCAAAAAACAGTGAATATTCCTACCTTTTCCCCTTTCCAAGTGCATTCTCTGCACCTTGAATTCCCTCCCACTCCTTGCTGTCTGCTTCTGTCTGTTGTTGTTGTTAGGTGGTGATGAGTCGGTTCCCAAGCGTAGCAAACCTGTATAGGGTTTCTGAGGAGCAGTTGGCTCCCAGTTCACTGCTGATCCTACAGTGCCACACTAGGACTCCCTGCTTCTGTCTTGTTGTTGTTGTTAGGTGCCATCAAGTCGGTATCGACCCATAGTGACCTTATGCACAGCAGAACGAAACACTGTCCGATCCTGGGCCAACCTCACTACTGCTGCCACGCTTGAGTCTATCAATGCTGCCACTTGGCCAGTCCATCTTGTTGGGGTCTTCCTCTTTTTCTCGGACCCTCCACCTTACCAAACATGATATTCTTCTCCAGCGACTAGTCCCTCCTGACAATATGTCCGAAGTATGAGAGACGAAGTTTGGCCATCTTGGTCTCCAAGGAGCAAGCACTCTGGCTGCACTTCTTCCAAAATGTATCTATTGGTTCTTTCAGCAGCCCGTGGCACTTTCAATATTTCCTCCAACATCATAACTCAAAAGCATCAATTCTTCTATGGTCTTCCTTATTCACTGTCCAGCTTCCACATGCATATGAGGTTATTGGAAATACCATGGTTTGGGTCAGGCGCACCTTAATCCTCAAACTGACATCTTTGCTCTTCAACACTTTAAAAAGGTCTTGTGCAGCAGATTTGCCTAATGCAATACATCGTCTGATCTCTTGACTGCTGCTTCCGTGAGTGTTGATAGTTGATCCAAGAAGAATGAAGTCCTTGACAACTTCAATCTTTTCTCCATTGATAAGAATGTTGTTTATTGGTCCAGTGGTGAGGACTTCTGTTTTCTTTACATTGAGATGCAATCCATACTGAAGGCTGTGCTCTTTGATCTTCATCAGTAAATGTTTCAAGTCCTCTTCACTTTCAGCAAGTAATTATCTACATATCACAGGTTGTTAATGAGTCTTCCTCCAATCCTGATGCGTTTTTCTTCATAGAACCCAGCTTCTCGGATTATTTGCTCAGCATACAAGGTTGAATAAGAATGGTGAAAGAATACAACTCTGTCTCACACATTTCTTAATTTTAAAACATTCAGTGTTCCCATGTTCTGTTCGAACGACTGCCTCTTGGTCCAAGTACAGATTCCTCATGAGCACAATTAAGTGTTCTGGAATACTCATACTTCGCAATGTTGTCCATAGCTTGTCATGATCCACACAGTCGAAAGCCTTTGCATAGTCAATAAAGCACAGGTAAACATCTTTCTGATATTCTCTGCTTTCAGCCAAGATCCCTTGTACATCAGCAATGATATCCCTCGTTCCACGGCCTCTTCTGAATCTGGCTTGAACCTCTGGAAGTTCTCTGTCAATGTATGCTTGTAGCCGTTTCTGTATTGCCTCTAGCAAAACTTTATTCACATGGGATACCAAAGAGATTGTGTGATGATTTCTGCATTCCGTTGGGTCACCTCTCTTTGGAATGGGCACAAATATGGATCTCTTCCAATTAGTTGGCCAGATAGCTGTCTTTCAAATTTCTTGGCAGAAATGAGTGAGTGCCTCCTGTGCTGCCTCACTTTCTTGCTTCTGTCTAGAGAAGCTCAAATTTTCCTTTTTCATAAAACCTTCCAGGCCATCTCAGGGTTCTTTGAGCCCTTCCCTCCCTGAACTCCTATGATTCTTCGTGGTAGACAAAGGTAGGTAGAAGAATGGAATTCATATTTGTAATTCACTTCAACAGTCCCTGACACATAATAATCATTATAAGTTTTTATTACATATACTAAAGTATACAAAAATAATATAAATAAAAACGACTTACAAGGTACTTGAGCATATTGGGAATGGGAAAGTATTTTCTTATCCTTAGCCGGGTCTGTTAGGGTTTCTTGGTTCATGGTGACTGTATTATGGTAACCTGTGAGGACCTATGCTATGTATGAGATGGGATTGTGGACCCATGCATGTCCTCAAGGAGTTTATTGCATAGCCCGGTAGAGGGCGCTGCACAAATATAAACCCATTAAACCTCAGCACAAAGTCCTGCACCAGTAGTGCCAAACTAGAACAGTTCCTGATGACTAAAGAAAGGTATAAAAAGAACTGAGCGACGATATAAAACTAATGTTCTCCAATGTAAACTATCACATAATTCACAATAAAACATTGAAAATAAAATTTTAAAAAGAACTGAGCAACGACTAAAACGATCTGGGTAATGGCATAAAGCTTTTCTTTACATTTTACCTCCCTTTTACTTTTATTTAGTTTTCATAAGAATATGAGTTTTTGGGTAGACAGTCCTCATATCAGATGTTTATCTAAGTTATATAAGGCATCATGTAGAATCCCAGAAATTCAGTAGGTGCCCTGTCCCCCCCTCCCCAAATGCCAGCTTTCTTCACACCTGTTGTTCCCTACCCACATTGCAGGGAGGTTGGGAATTGGCATGTATGGTGGAAAAGAGTGGACCCATTTTGATTTGTAATTCACCTAAAGAAATTATTTATTGAGGACCCAGTGAATTGTGAGAAAGAAGCTCTTTTTCACATTTTAAAACAGTAGGAAGTCCTGAGGCTTAACTCTTTCCTATTCAATGGATCTCAACTTTGGTTGTTTATTGGGATCAGTCAGGCTGTACTCTAGACCGAATAAATCAAAATCTCTGGAGGCATCAATATTTTTCAAAACATCCTCGATGTGATGCTTGGATCCTCCAGGAGCAGAATATGGTACAGTGTTTAAGCACTCGGCTGGTAACAGAAAGTAGGGTAGTTCATTCTGTGGGAGAAAGATTAGACAGTCTCCTTCTGTAGATTGCTGTTTCTTGTTTAATGTTGTCCAGTCAGTTCTGATTAATACGGGCCCCGTACAAGGTTTCCGAGGCATGGTTGCTGGATTTGGAACAGCAACATTGTAGTTAGTAGCCTAGTGATGATCGTACAGTGTCACCTGGGAAACCCAACAGGGGCAGTGCTACTGTGCCCTGTAGGGTCTGTTTGAGTCAGAATCAACAGTTTGGGTTTTTGTGATGTGATCAAACCAACAGGGAGCTTTCAGGTAAAAAAACGCCAGTTAGAGAAAAACTGTGTTGGGCAGAAATAGCCAGGTCCTGCTGCTCCTGTCGTGCTCAGTGATTGGCTAAGGGCTGTCACCAAACAGCTGGAGGCCAAAAAAACTGAATTCTTTGCAGTCGTTGCTGTTAAGCACGTTCAAGTTGGTTCTGACACATAGTGACCCTTTTATGGGACTTCTGAGGCTGTGCATTTTGCCAGAGCAGAGAACCTCATCTTTCTGTTGCTGAGTGGTTTGTGGGCTCCTTGGAGACCCAAGCTGCTCCCTCCATGGTTGCCAAGGTGTGACCAAAGTTGAGAACCACTTCTCTACTTTCCAAATGGGGAAACTCTAGTGCTTAGGAAAAACATTTCTATCAGAAAGCAGAAAAGCCACATATTCATGTACAAGAGACCTACCATCATGGAGGAAGTTACCAGTGCAGTAGAAGAAAGCCTGCTCTCTCCCAGAAGGAGCTGCAAATCACCAACCAGCCTTTAGTCTCTACATTTGTTGCTTCAGCAAGCGGAGCCTCAGAGTCCTCAGATCTAAAATGAGGGGTAATTCTCTCCTCACAAAGCTGTTGCAA